TAGAAAAAGCCAGAAGTGGCTCTGTGGCTCAAGTAGTAGAGTGCTAGCCTTGAGCTGAAGAGCTGAGGGACAGTGCCCAGGCCCAGAGTTCAGGCCCCACGACTGACAAAAAAAAAAGAGAGAGAGAGAGAGAGAAAGAGGCCCTGAGTTCAACCCCTAGCACCAGTACAAAAGAAAAGAAAAGAAAGGAATAGGGAAAGAAATGGAAGGGAAGGGAAAGAAAAGGGTAGGAAGGAAAGAAAAGGGAAAGGTTGGGCTGGGAAGTTGGCTCAGTGGTAGAGGGTAGAGTACTTGCCTGGCATGCATGAGGCCCTGGGTTCAATTCCTCAGCACCACAAAAGCAGAAAAAAGCCAGAAGTGGTAGGACGCTGAAGAGCTGAGGGACAGCGTCCAGGCCCAGAGTTCACCCCCCACGACAGCAAATAAAAAATGAAAAGAGAACAAAAGAAAAAGGTAGGAAGGGAAAGACCATGAGGGATGGGTTAGGAAGGATTCTGAGTTAAGCTGGTAGTCTAAGTAGTCCCAACAAGAATTGGTAAGATGGGGACTGGGAATGTGGCTTAATGGTAGAGTGCTTGCCTAGCATGCATGAAGCCCTGGATTTGATTTCTCAACACCATATAAACAAAAAAAGCTGGAAGTGGTACTATTGGTAGAGTGCTAGACTTGAGCAAAAAGAAGCTCAGGGCCGGGCGCTGGTGGCTAACGCCTGTAATCCTAGCTTCTCAGGAGGCTGAGATCCGAGGATTGCGGTTCAAAGCCAGCCCGGGCAGGAAAGACCGTGAGACTCCTATCTCCAATAAACCACCAGAAAACCGGAAGTGGCGCTGTAGCTCAAGTGGTGGAGCACTCGCCTTCAGCTGAAGAGCTGAGGGACAGCGCCCAGGCCCAGAGTTCAAGCCCCACGACTGACAAAAAATAAAAAAAGAAGCTCAGGGACAGTACCCAGGCTCCGAGTTCAAGCCCCAGAAGGGGCACACACACAAAAAATAGTAAGATGGGCATGGTAGTACATACCTGTAGTGTCAGGTACTCAGGAGGCTGAGGCAGAAGGAACTCTTTTTTTTTTTTTGGTCAGTGTGGGGCTTGAACTCTGGGCCTGGGCGCTGTCCCTCAGCTCTTCAGCTCAAGGTGAGCACTCTACCTCTTGAGCCACAGCACCACTTCCAGTTTTCTGAGTGGTTTACTGGGGATAAGAGTCTCACGGACTTTCCTGCTTGGGCTGGTTTTGAACCGCTGTCCTCATATCTCAGCCTCCTGAGTAGCTAGGATTACAGGCATGAGCCACTGGTGCCCAGCCGGAAACTCCTGTAGCTAGGATTACAAGTGTGAGCCACCAGTACCTGGCTTCATTATCCTATTTTATCATGTATTATTTCAGCACCAGAGATTGACTATAGGGCCTCTTGTTTGCTGGGCAGGTGCTCTACCACTTGCGCTATACCCTAGCCTGATGTTGTTCATCCTAGACTGCATAAAAAACAGAAGCTAAGATAGATGCTCAGGTAGCTCATACTTAGAGGCTGAGATCTGAGAAATGTGGTTGGAAGCTAGCCTAGGCAGGAAAATCCATGAGATTCTTATCTCTACTTAACCTCCAAAAAGTCGAAAGTAGGAACTCTTGAACCCATAAGTTAATTACAGGTTGAGGAACATGTTAAGACTCCATCTCAACAACAACAATATAGAATGTTGGTGGTAGCCTGGCCTAGTATGGTGGCTATGGAAGCAGAGAAATGCATGAATTCAGGATGTATTTTTTCTTGTTTTTATGTTTATATATTTGATCAGTATATGTTAATTATATGAAGTAGAGGATTTTCATGCATACCCTCCTCTACTACTTGTTTCTCCCAGCCCCCTTCCCACCCAGCTTCCACAAATGACAGGAAACATGTAATACTTAATCTTTGTGAATTGTTTCATTTCACTTAAAAGGATGAGTTCAAATTCTATCATTTTCCAGAAAGTGATTTTTGGATATAGACTTAACAGGATTTGATGGGTTGGATGACTGTGAAGGAAAGATGGGATTAAGGATGACTTATACATGTGAAATTCAGTGTGTTCTATTTCTCTCTCTCTCTCTCTCTCTCTCTCTCTCTCTCTGTGTATACGCGTGCGTGCGCACATGTGTGCTTGAATTCAGGACTTAGGTACCATCCCTTAGCATTTTTGTTCAAGGACAGCATTCTATCCCTTGAGCCACAGCTCCATTTCTAGCTTTTTGGTGGTTAATTGAAGACAAGTCTCATGGACTTTCTACCCTGGCTGGCTGGATCTTCAACTCTAAGCCTCCTGGGTATCTAGGATTACAGGCATGAACCACCAATGCCCTACATATTATAGATTACCAACAGACAATAAAAGGTATGTGTGTAGATTAGTTTCACTGACATAGAAATATATTTATGACATAATTAAGTACATGTTAAAAAATTGGTGCCCGGCATGAACTTCGTTTTGAAACAAGGTATACTAAATAGTCCTGGCTGACCTTGAACTTTCTGCTTCAGTTTGTAAAGTGCTGGCATTGCAAGTGTATTCCCCCATTCCTGGCTACCATTCAACTTTTATACATTTTTTTCAACTTTTATACATTCAGTGTGATGTTAAGTTTCTTGAGATTACCTTCAAGTTTAAGGAAGTTTCCTTCTATTACTAGCTTGCTGAAAGATTTTATAAAGCAGGAACATAATTAATTTGCCAAGTGCCTGCTTTCTCTGCATCTATTGAGATAGACATAAAAATGTTTTCCTCTTCTTCTTGTTAATATGATGAGTTCATTGATTTAAAAAATTATTTTTTGGCAATACGAGAGTGTGAACTCAAGACCTTGCACTTGCTTGTCTGCGTGTATTTTTTTTTTTTTTAATTACTGAGCTCTCCTTTTTTTGTTGTTTTTTGGTGGTAGTACTGGGGCTTAAACTCAGGGACCTCATATTCTTGGTCAGGTTTTTTACTCACAGCTAGCATTTTTCTACTTGAGCAATACATTCAGTCTAGCATCTTCAGTTAACTGGAGAGGGATGGAGTCTCACAGACTTTTCTATCTGAGCGCGCTTCAAACCATGATCTTCAGCTCTTAGCTCTTAGCATTCTGAGTAGTTACAATTCCGAGTGTGAGCCACTGGCACCCAATGTAATCTTCTGGGTTTTTGTTTTACTTTGAGAAAATGCAAGAGAACTTGAATTGGTTGGATAGTTAAGTGATACTTCTGGTTATCTGCTTAAAAAAAAATTTTTTTTTTGCTCATACTGAGATTTGAATTCAGGGTCTAGGTGCTGTTTGGACACTGAGCTTTTTTGCTCAAATATTAACACTGTACCACTTGAATCACAGCTCTACTTTTGACTTTTTGGAGGTTAATTGGAGATAGAATCTCATGGATTTTCCTGCCTAGGCTGGCTTCCAACCACATTTCTCAGATCTCAGCCTCTAAGGATGAGCTACCTGAGCATCTGTCTTAGCTTCTGTTTTTTATGCAGTCTAGGATGAACAACATCAGGCTGGGGTATAGCTCAAGTGGTAGAGCACCTGCCCAGCAAACAAGAGGCCCTATAGTCAATCTCTGGTGCTGAAATAATACATGATAAAATAGGATAATGAAGCCAGTGCTAGTGGCTCACACCTGTAATCCCAGCTGCTCACCTGGGCAGGAAAGTCTGAGACTCTTATCTCCAATAAACCACCAGAAAATAGGAAGTGGCACCATGGCTCAAGTGGTAGAGCACTCACTTTGAGCTGAAGAGCTCAGGGACAGTGCCCAGGCCCAGAGTTCAAGCTCTATGACTGACCAAAAAAAAAAAAATAGGATAATGAATAGCAGAACAACATCATGTAGTAGCTTGGTCTGGTAGAAAGCAATTTCTTTCTCTTTTTCCTATCTTCCTTTTAAAAAATTGTAAATATTTTACATATTTTATAAAAAGCAATCTGGCATTATGGAAAGAAAATGCAAGTAAGCAAATGGTTCAGGCCCCACAACTGGACCCCCCCCAAAAAAAAAGTATATTACAAAACATGTATTTGTTTAACATAATTATTTCATAAATATATTTCCATGTCAATGAGATTAATTACAATATACTTTTTTTTTTTTTTTTTTGTCAGTCGTGGAGCCTGAACTCTGGGCCTGGGCACTGTCCCTCAGCTCTTCAGCTCAAGGCTAGCGCTCTACCACTTGAGCCACAGCGCCACTTCTGGCTTTTTTCTTTCTGCTTATGTGGTGCTGAGGAATCAAACCCAGGGCCTTATGCATGCAAGGCAAGCGCTCTACCACTGAGCTACCTTCCCAGCCCACAACATACCTTTTTGATAAATTATATTGATGTTTATATTGATAATTTATAATGTGTAGGGTGTCAGGGGCTCTTATCTGTAATCCTAGCTACTCAGGAGGCAGAGATCTGAGGATTGTGGATTGAAGACAGCCTGGGCAGGAAAGTCTGTGAGAGTCTTATTTCCAGTTAACCAACAAAAAGCTGAAGTGGACCTGTGGCTCAAGTGGTAGAGCAATAGACTTGAACGACTTGAACTCAGGGACAGAGCCCAGGCCCTGAGTTCAAGCCTCAGGACTGGCAGACACACACACACACACACACACACACACACACACACAAACAACAACAATAACAAATACTAGGAATATTGTTAATAAGCCTGCATTTGCCCATTTTCTGTTGTTTTTTTTTTATTTTTGTCAGTCATAGGGCTTGAACTCTGGGCCTGGGCACTGTCCCTGACCTCTTCAGCTCTAGGCGAGTGCTCTACCACTTGAGCCACAGGGCTACTTCCAGTTTTTGGAGTGGTTTATTGGAGGTAAGAGTCTCATGGCCTTTCCTTCCCACGCTGGCTTTAAACTGTAATCCTCAGATCTCAGCCTCCTGAGTAGCTAAGATTACAGGTGTGAGCCACTGGTGCCTGGCTGGCAGTTTTTTTTTTTTGTTTTTTTTTTTTACCTTTAACATAAGGATTTGTAGGAATTTTGTCATTTCAGGATATAAGTCTAAAGAAGACAGTCTCTTCCTATGACGATATCATTCAGATACTGGAGGATGAGTCTAACCAGGGGCATTTGATTGGTGATTTCTCCAAAGTAAGTTTGTTTATAAACATGTGTGTATATGTGTGTATATAAATATATATACATTACATATGTATATATATACATATATAATATGTATATGTGAGTGTGTGGGTATGAGTATGTGTATGTATAAATGGGGGAGGCTGTACCTCCAGCCTTACAAATGTTAGGCAAGCACTCTACCACTACCTATATCCCCAGCCCTCGGTTTTTTGAGACAGAGTCTCATTATGTAGCTCTTGTTGATATTACATGAATGTACCACCATACCTAGCTTTGCATTCTATATGTTAGTGAGTCATTTTGGATTTGAATCTTGTCTTCTCTATTTACAGAGGGTATTAGATGTAATTATGCTAAGTACTTTTTGTTGACCTGAAGGTGTGCTGGTGGTAGATCTAGTCCTTAAGCCTTTCTAGTGAAAAAGTACACACACACAACAACATAAACAACCCACCTTTTCATGTAGGATAAACAAATTAATAGCTGTACATTAGTTAATTTTTGGCTTGCATAATTTCTTTGAAATACTCTCATAAGATAATTATGCTCTTTTTCTTTTACTTTTTTGAGGTAGTACTCAAAGCCTTGCATTTACCAGGCAGATAAACTATCCCTGTGCTGTACCTACAGTCCCTTCAGCCTTTTTTTTTTTTTAATTTTTTTATTTTTTTGGGTCCGGTCGTGGGGTCTGAACTCTGGGCCTGTGCACTGTCCCTCAGCTCTTCAGCTCAAGGCTAACGCTCTACCACTTGAGCCACAACGCCATATCCGGCTTTTTTCTTTTTGCTTATGTGGTGCTGGGGAATCGAACTCAGGGCCTCAGGCATGCAAGGCAAGCGCTCTACCACTGAGCCACCTTCCCAGCCCCTGTTTTGTTTTGTTTTTATGCTGGTACTGGGCTTGAACTCAGGGCCTCATGCTCTCACTTGGCTTTTTCACTCAATACTAGCACTCTACTACTTCTGGCTTTTTGGTGTTTAATTAGAAATAAGTGTTTCATGAACTTTTCTGCCCAGATGGCTTTGAACTGGAATCCTTAGATCTTAGCCTCCTGAGTAGCTAGGATTCCAGACATGAACCACTAGTGTCCAGTTTTGCACTGCTTATTTTTGAAATGGGCATATACTTCCTGCCCAGGTGCACCTGGGTGCCAATTAGCTTATTTTAGGCTTCCTATACATAGGATAACACGGCACATACCACTATGCTCCTCTCTCAAGTGAGAAGGGATCTCTAGACCTTTTCTATCTTGGGTGGCTTCAGACCCTGATCCTTCTAATCTCAGCCTCCCAAGCTAGGATTAGAGGTGTGAGCCACTGGCACCCAGCTTTCATTTTTTTTATATACTCAGGGAATTTAAAACTCTATATACATTCAAGATTAGATCTGTAGGATCAGTTCTTAGAAACAGAATTATTATATATACTATATAGAGACCACTGAGTTTAGAAGTTCCCTGGGGTTCTTAGAGTCATTTGGAAAGTACAGTATTTGAGTCTTTGAACTTAAGCTTTGATGGGAAATACTAGCTACTATTTCTGCTCTTGGGTATTTCTAGGTTTGTGTGCTGCCAACTGTATCAGGAAGACACCAAGATCTGAAGTATGTCAACCCAGAAACAGTAAGCAGATTTCTGGAGATGATAACTGATTACATAAGCTACCATCTGATCTATTCTGTCCCCAAAATCCCTCTTCAATTTTTATTTCTTTCATTAACACAGCTGTATTAATTAACTCCCTTTTTTCTGTCCTTTTTATTTTTAATACATAATTTTAGAAAGGGTGGGTGGAAGAGGAAGAAAGAAAGGAGGAGAAGGATGTGAAAAAAAACACAAAAAGGAAAATAGATCATTCATTTAGGATATTTATAAATCCTGGTCTACATATGATAATCCCTATTACACCTGTTACTGAGGGTAATTATTAATTGTCTTCTCTTTCACTTTCAGAGGTACTCAGTTTGTATAATTATGTGGTCATACTCTCCACAATCTTGACCAAAGAAACCCCCCAAAACAGGATCACAAGCTGGGCACCAGTGGCACATGCTTGTAATCCTAGTTACTCAGGAAGCTGAGATCTGAAGATAGCAGTTTGAACCCAGCCAGCCTGAGCTGGAAGTAGAGCTGTGGCTCAAGTGGTAAAGCACTTGCTTTGAGCAAAAAACAAAGCTCAGAAATAGTGTTCAGGTTCTGAGTTCAAGTCCCAGGACTAGCACCAAAAAAGGGGGTGGAGGATCACAGGGAACATACAATATTACACTTAATTTAGTAAGATATTGAAAAGTCTCTACATGAATAAAAAGACATTTTAATTTAGCTCTATAATGTTTTCTTTTTTCTTTCTTTCCTTTTTTTTTTTGTCGGTTGTGGGGCTTGAACTCTGGGCCTGGATGCTATCCCTGAGCTTTTCAGCTCAAGGTGAGCACTCTACCACTTGAGCCACAGAGCCACTTCTGGTATTCTGGTGATTAATTGGAGATGAGAGTCGCACGGATGTTCCTGCCTGGGCTGGCTTTGAACCACGATCCTCAGATCTCAGCCTCCTGAGTAACTAGTATTATAGGCATGAGCCACTTGTGCCCAGCTTTATAATGTTTTCTTATATTGAAATCTATAGTTGATTTAATGGAACACTTCTTATTGAATATTTATTTCTTATGTTTAGACAAACTAAAACTAATAGATAAATATCCAGTTGTGGCCATGTCTGTGTATTTTTGTTTATTAGTTTATTGTGTGTGTGTGTGTGTGTGTGTGTGTGTGTGTGTGTGTGTGTGTGTTCAGAACTCTGGGTCTGCCTCTTGCTTAGCTTTTTCCCTCAAGGCTGGCACTTTACCACTTGAGCCACACCTCTATTCCATTTTGCTGGTTAATTGGAAATATGACTCTCACAAACTTTTCTGCCCACGGTGGCTTCAAAAGGCCAGCGCCTAGCTTCTGTGTACTTAGGATGTTAGAAGAGAAATTGCTGGGTCAAAGTGTAATTGTATCCATTTCTTTGTTGGTTCATTCATTTGGGGATTGACCTCTGGGCCTCAAAATTGCCAGGCAAGCCCTTTGCCACCTGAGCCACACCCTCAGTGCTTTTGCTTTTAGCTTATTTTTCAGATAGAATTTCATGCTAACTTTACCCAGACTGGCTTCTACTCAACCCTCTTACCTCTACTTCTTGAGTAACCTGGGATTACAGGCATGCACCACACCTGACTTACACTTATTTTTATGTGTATTTGCAAATCTTCCTCCAGAAATGCTGACCCAATTTATACATCTCCAAAGAGCTGCAATTTCTTCCTTCCATATCTCTTTCTGAAAGACCTGCTTTTTTTTTCTGTAATAGCAGATGGAGACCCATTTCCCATCTCTTACAAAATTGAGATGTTTAGCTACTAGCTACCTCTTCTGCTGCTGCTACAGAAGCTCTCTCTCTCTCTCTCTCTGTTGTTCTTGGGACTTAGGTGCTGTCCCTAGGCTTTTTCTCAAGGCTAGTGCTCTACCACTCTACCACTTTGAACCATGGTGCCACTTCTAGTTTTCTGGTCCTTAATTGGAGATAAGTATCTCACAGACTTTCCTGCCCCAGCTGGGTTTGAACCAAGATCCTCAGATCTCAGCCTGCTGAGTGGCTAGGATATCAGGCATGAGCCACCAGTGCCTGGCTTGCCCACCCACCCACCCTCCTTTCCTACCTTCCTTCCTATTTTCTATTTTTTCCTGTGCCAGTACTGGAGCTTGAATTTAGGACCTAGATGCTATCCTTTAGCTTTTTTTTTTTTTTTTTTATGTTCAAAGCTGGAACTCTTCCACTTTAAACCACAGTTTTACTTCTGGCTTTTTGGTGGTTAATTGGAGATGAATCTCGTAGACTTTTCTGCCTGGGCTAACTTCACACTACACTCTTCAGATCTCAGGGCTGGGAAGGTGGCTCAGTGGTAGAGCGCTTACCTTGTATGCATGAGGCCCTGGGCTCGATTCCTCAGCACCACATAAGCAAAAAGAAAAAAGCTGGAAGTGGCGCTGTGGCTCAAGTGGTAGAGCACTAGCCTTGAGCTGAAGTGCTGAGGGACAGCGCCCAGGCCCAGAGTTCAGGCCCCATGACTGGACCCCCCAAAAAAAAAACAAAAACAAAAAACAGATCTCAGTCACCTGAGTTACTAGGGTTATATGTGTGAACGACCAATGCCTGACTATGCAGAAGCTTCTTGAGAGGCTACCTCTAGCAATGCTAACTACAATAAGATCTTGGTGTCCTGGCACTTTGAGCCAATGCCATTTCATTATCTTACATCTGGTGGTGCTGACCCCATAGCTCTGTTTCAAATACAGAGCAACAGGGCTGGGAAGTTGGCTCAGTGGTAGAATACTTGTCTCACATGTAGGAGGCCCTGGGTTCGATTCCTCAGCACCACATAAACAGAACAAAGCCGGCAATGGCACTGTGGCTCAAGTGGTAGGGCACTAGCCTTGAGCTGAAGAGCTAAGGGACAGCGCCCAGGCCCAGAGTTCAGCCCCCATGACAGCCAAAAAGCAAACAAACAAGCAATCAAATACAGAGCAAGTTTGTTCCGCTACTCTGGAAAGCAAAGCAGTATGAGGTTCCTCAAAGGACTATACATAGAACTTCCCTATGACTCAGCAATCCCACTCCTGGGCATTTATCCAAATGACCACAAACCAGACTGCAGTAAAGCCACCAGCACAACTATGTTCATTGCAGCATTGTTTACCATAGCTAAAACATGGGATAAACCACAATGCCCCACCGTGGACAAATGGATCAAGAAAATGTGGTATATATGCCCAATGGAATTCTATACTTCCAGCAGAAAGAATGACATTAGTAAGGAAATTAGTAAAGAAATGGAAAGACTTGAAAAAAAATTATATTAAGTAAAGTAAGCAAGACCCAAAGAAACATAGGCTACATGGTTTCCCTCACTTATAATAATTAGTATGTCCCTATAAATCTACAAGTGAACCCAATGCATAGTAAAAGACAAATGATTACATAATTAAACAGCAGTCTAAAAATTCACACAGTGAGAACAAAGGAGGATATTCTTAGGAGAGGATCACAAAGGCTCAATAGCTTTGTTCATATGATCATATAAAATGATGCTTATCAAAATGAACTCCAAGGGGCTGGGAAAGTGGCTCAGTGGTAGAGTGCTTGCCTTGCATTCATGAGGCCCTGGGCTCGATTCCTCAGCACCACATAAGCAGAAAAATCTGGAAGTGGCACTGTGGCTCAAAGTGGTAGAGCGCTAGGCCTTGAGCTGAAGAGCTGAGGGACAGTGCCCAGGCCCAGAGTTCAGGCCCCATGACCGGCAAAAAAAAACCAAAACAAACAAAAAAAAAAGAACTCCAAACCTGTAATCCTAGCTGAGATCTGAGGATTATGGTTCAAAGCCAGCTAGGGCAGGAAAGTCCATGAGACTCTTATCTCCAATTAACCACCAGAAAACCGGAACTGGCGCTGTGGCTCCAACAGTAGAGTGCTCGCCTTGAGCTGAAGAGCTAAGGAACGTCACCCAGGCCCAGAGTTCAAGCCCCACAACCGAAAAAAAAAAATGAATTCTAAGAAATGGAAACAAGAGGTTTTTTTATTGTACTGTTCTTCCCCCCCCTTCAGTTTATTCCCTTTTTGTTGTTGTTTTTGATTTCTCTATACTTTATCTTGTATATAAGTTTATATGATTTAGGGAGGGGAAGAGGAAGCACAGAAATAATGAGACAAAGGGTGAACCAACTCAGCAGAGATACTCATTAGACACTATGTTAGAAATGAACTATATAAGCCAGGCGCCAGTGGCTCCCACCTATAACCCTAGCTACTCAGGAGGCTGAGATCTGAGGATCGAGGTTCAGAGCCAGCCTGAGCAGGAAAGTCCATGAGACTCTTATCTCCAATAAACCACTAGAAAACCAGAAGTGGTGCTGTGGCTCAAGCGGTAGAGTGCTTGCCTTGAGCTGAAGAGCGTAGTGACAGCGCCAAAGCCCAGAGTTCAAGCCCTATGACCAACCAAAAAAAAAAAAAAGAGCTACACAATTTGGGAGTTGGGAGAGGAAAATGTGGGAGAAAATGAAGGAGGAAGTGACACTGTTCCAAAGAAATGTACTCATGCCTGGTGCTGGTGGCTCATGTCCTAGCTACTTAGGAGGCTGAGATCTGAGGATCACTCTTCAAAGTCAGCCTGGAAAGGAAAGTCCATGAGACTCTTATCTCTAATTAACCACCAGAAAACTAGAAGTGGCCTTGTGGCTTAAGTGGTAGAATGCTTGCCTTGAGCTGAAGAGCTCAGGGACAGGGCCCACAGTTTAATCCCCACGATTGACAAACAAAAAGAAAAGAAAAGAAATGTACTTATTATGTACATATTACCCAACTTATATAACTGTAACCTCTTTGTACATCATATGTGTGTGTGTGTGTGTGTGTGTGTGTGTGTAGGATGACTTAAGGGCTGTATGTACTATGGAATCTTGAGTGCCTAATGAACATATGCACATAAGGAACTATGTGATAACTATATTATGTTATCTTTCAGGATAACAATGAGCAGTATAATCAACCATCAACTATCATTTCTGTTCAGGTAGCTGCCTTACTATCTGGGAAGTTCCAGGGTCTGATTGAGAAGTTTTTTATTATTGATTGCCGCTATCCATATGAGTACCTGGGAGGACACATCCAGGTGAGTACCTTAGCAGGGAGGGGCTGGAGGTGGGAGGTGGATCTTTATTAAGAAAAGTCTGTGGACAAAGGGTCTTTTTTTTTCTCGTCAGTCTGTGGCTTGAACTAGGGCCTGGGCTCTGTCCCTGAGCTCTTTTGCTCAAGGAGAGCTCTATACCACTTTGAGCCACAGCATCATTTCTGGTTTTCTGGTGGCTAATTGGAGGTAAGAGTCTCTTGGATTTTCCTACCTAGGCTGGCTTTGAAGCAGGATCCTCAGACCTCAGCTTCCTGAATAGCTAGGATTACAGGAGTCATCAGCTCCTGGCTTGGAAAAAAGGTCTTATGAAATCTAAAACCAAGGTAGAGATTAGTATATTTGGAGCACATTAATATATTTGGAGCACATTTATATTTTTAATTCTGTATGCTTTAAAACAACTATTTTCCCTTTCCATTCTTTACAAATCTCGCTCTATTTTGTAGGAGCGAAGGTCTTCTACTTGAAAATCAAAACATTAATCCAAGGACTGAGAAATATTTTACAAACATTTATTGCTCACAGACATTTTCTGGCAATGTGGTCTCTGTCTTCTGGTCAGTTCAGTTCTGTGAACATTTATTGAGAGTCTATCACATACCAAACTCTAGGCTAGCCCCAAGGGTGGCCCAGAGACATACTTAGATCCCTTTCCTGAAGTTCCTTCTAGTTTTTCTGGCTTAAATTTTCTAAGATGGTATCTCAGATGTTTCTTTGAAACATTGATGCTATATATAAGCCCTGGAAGGAAAACTTACTAAAATTCTTTTTCACAGGGAGCCTTAAATTTGTATAGTCACAAAGAACTATATGACTTCTTTCTGAAGAAACCCATTGTCCCCTTGGATATCCAGAAAAGAATAATCATTGTGTTTCACTGTGAATTCTCCTCTGAGCGGGGTCCCCGAATGTAAGTATCTACATGGGTTAGAGTCTGTGATAGAAATGGATCTTCACTTAGACTTCCCAGTTTGGACAGACTGAATGATGTTAGAGAAGTTGAACAAATGTGTTTTTCTCTCTCTTTCTCTTAAATTATCTTTAAGTAGTTGCACAGAAGGATTTCTATAATTTAAAAGTTTTGGAAGCTGAGATTAGATTAGGAAGTATTGTAGTTCAAGGCCAACCCAGAAAAAAAAAGATGGTGACACTCATCTCAAAAAAAAAAAAAAAAATAGCTTGACATGGTGTTTTGCTTCTATGTAATCCCAGCTATGCAGGAACCTTAAGAGCAGCAAGCAGAGAGAGAGAGAGAGAGAGAGAGAGAAAGAGAGAGAGAGAGAGACTCTATCCAAAAAATAACCTAAAGCAAAAGGGATGAGAGCATAGCTAAATGGTAGAATGCTTGAGTTCAAACTCCAGTACTACAATGATAGTGAATGTAATTGTAATGGAGGAAAGAAGGAAAAGGTGATATTTGGACTTTGTTTTGCAGTCTATTTCCACCCTCCCTTTCTCTTATGCCACACAAGTGCTATACCCCTGACCTACATTCCCAGGCCAGAAGGACCATTTAGAATTAGTAATTGTCAGTTCTTTTTTTTTTGGCCAGTCCCAGGCTTGAACTCTGGGCCTGGGCACTGTCCCTCAGCTCTTCAGCTCAAGGTGAGCGCTCTACCACTTGAGCCACAGTGTCACTTCTGGCTTTTGCTGTTTAGGTAGTGCTTAGGAATCAAACCCAGGGCCTCATGCGTGCAAGGCAAGCACTCTACCACTGAGCCACCTTCTCAGCCCAGTAATTGTCAGTTCTTTCTCCTTCTCCCCATGAAGACTCATGGGGACATTCAAGAAACTGTTTCTTTCCACTTACCTCCCTTTTCTCTAAAGGTGCCGTTCCCTGAGAGGAGAGGACAGGGCTCTGAACCAGTATCCTGCACTGTATTACCCAGAGCTATATATCCTCAAAGGGGGCTACAGAGACTTCTTTCCAGAATATATGGTAAAGAGGGGGGCATGGGAGAGGTTGGGCACAAGGGAGTCAGATTCAGCTAGCAATTTCCTGGGGCTGCAAAGCCTTTTGAGAAGAAACTGATGTTCCTTCTTAGCCACAGCCAGCACCATCATACAGTGTCTTTATTATCATTTTAGGTAGAGTTCAGGAGTCTAGGAATCTCTTAATCTGTCACCTAACTTTCAGGAGCTGTGTGAACCCCAAAGCTACTGCCCTATGCATCACCAGGACCATCAGGCGGAGCTGCTGAGATGTCAAAGCCAAAGCAAGGCTCAGGAAGGGGAGCGGCAACTTCGGGAGCAGATTGCCCTCCTGGTGAAGGATGTAAACCCATGATAGTGATTTAGCCACTGGTGATGAAGAAGTCATCAAAAGACATTGTGGTGACCCTGAGGCCATCATCTCTGTAGTAACCTAAGATTGTTTAAAAAAAAGATGTCCACACAACAGCAAGCTGCTGCACTAAGGAAATCCCAGGAGTAGGGACTGGTTAGGTTTCAGTGGAGCTGATGGCTGGTAGCTGAATCTGAGAGCTAGCTCTGGAAGGCGGTGGCTTTGACTTATGTAGAGATTTGTGTCACTTTCAGGAACTCCTGCATTTCTCTTCCCAATTTCTGTCTTTTCTCTAGCCAAATAGTTTTTTGTCTCTCTAGGCTCCTGGCTCTTTGTTCTCCCCTACCCCTTTCCCACAAAAGTGAAAAAGTAAACATTTCAGAATAAGAACTGTGATTGTGGGCCCACATCTGCTCTTAGATCACCAACTTAGACTCCTTTAAAGGTCTGGGAATATTGTTCAGTTGTAAAATGCTTGCCTACTATCCATCACTATATTTGTAGTGCTGGGTTCAATCCCCAGCACTACAAAGAAAAAAGAAATAAAATCTTGAGGCTGCAATCTGGGAATTCAAAGACAGCCTGTGAAGGAAAACATGTGAAACTCTTTTCTCCAATTAGCCACCAAAAAACCAGAACTGGAGCAATGGGTTAAGTGGTAGAGTACCAGCCTTGAGCAAAAAGTTAAAGGACAGTGATCAGGTCCTGAGTTCAAGCCTTTGTAGAAGCACACATGCACATGCACACTCATGAGTGCATGCATGCACACACACACACACACACACACAAATAGACTCTAAGACATAGAAGTATAACTATAGGGGCTGGGAAGATGGCTCAGTGGTAGAGTGCTTGCCTTGCATGCATGAGGCCTTGGGTTCGATTCCTCAGCACCACATAAGCAAAAAGAAAAAAGCCGGAAGTGGCGCTGTGGCTCAAGTAGTAGAGCGCTAGCCTTGAGCTGAAGAGCTGAGGGACAGCACCCAGGCCCAGAGTTCAGGCCCCACGACTGGACCCAAAAAACAAAACAAAAAAAAACAAAAATAAAAGAAGTATAACTATAGCTGGACACTGGTAGCTTATGCCTGTAATCCTAGCTACTCAGAAGGCTGAGATCTGAGGATCGCGGTTCAAAACCAGCCTGTCAGGAATGTCAGTGAGACTCTTACCTCCAATAACTACTCAGAAAGCCAGAGGTGGTGCTGTAGCTTGGTAAAGTGCTATCCTTGAGCACAAAGAGGCTCTGGGACAGCACCTTAGCCCTGAGTTTAAGCCCCATGACCGACAACAAAAAAGAAAGAAAGAAAAAGAAATGTATCTTCTTGCTTTTCTGTAAAGAGTAGTCTGAATACTTTTCAGTCCTGGAACATCAGCACCTTTTGAACTTGTTTGAAATGTAAATCTCCATAGTTTACCTTTTATTTTAAGTCAGAACTTCTGAGGCTCCCAAGGCTCCAAAGTTGAGGTTTTAAGTCTGCTTTTCCATGTGGTTTTGGTGCTTGCTGAAGTTTGGGAACTATTGCTCTGGAATTAAGAGAAGTCAAACTATTCTTGAACTGTGGTACTGGATACCTGTAAGACTGAAGTAGGCTAGGGAGTTCAAAGCCATCCACATAGTGAGACCCTGTGAACAACAACAGAACAACAAAAACAAAAGTGTATTCTTAAGCAGTAGTCCAAGTGTTCCTTTTCTAGACATTCTCTGGTATGAATTATGTATGAGTTACATAAAATTGTTCCCTACTCAGTGTCATGTGGTCTCAGAAAACCAAATGATTAGCATTCTCTGAGGTAAATGGTAGATCTGAGTTGGGCTCATCATTTCCTCATTTGTACTGGAGGTTTGACTTTTTCCTGTTTCCCAGACTTCTCCATTCCATTTTACATCTCATGAGGACTATAAGACTTAGGAGATTAGTGATTTAAGAAGATAGGAATGAAAGAAAAAGTACAAAGATCAGCTAAACTCAAGGAAAACCTTTTTCAGTAACATCTCAGGCTTTCCTTCCCGAGAGCTCTTTAAAATGAGAAGGTTTTTATCTGTGTAGTAAGGTACATGCCCTCCTTGGCCTAGGGTAGCTCAGGGATTGACTGCATTTGTCATTCTCTGGCATTAAGTTGCTACAGGTAGCCCTGGACTGGGAAAGTTGGAATCACTTTGAAGCCTGGAATAGAATGTATGCAAAAATAACAACTTCATAGTTCTGGAGTCTGCAGGACTCCAGGAAGGGAGCAGAAAGGAGTTTTGTAGTTATACAGCAGCCCTGCCTAAGTCTGGTTGGACTGAATTTTTGTAATTTCCACCTTCTTGCCCTAGAGTGCTGCATGGATGCCTCACAGCAGAGGGCGCTGCTGTATTCTTTAAGACAGCTAGCTGGAGCCAGCAGTCTCCACCTAAGCAGCTGCTTGTCAGAATAAAAACTACCTGCTAAGCCTTGGAGCTCAGAGCCTGGGAGGGGAGTGGTGGGGGTGTATGTAACTATATTAGGTAGAGGTGGCTGAGGGGAAAATACTACACATGTGCTCCTCCCTCCCTGTAAAAACAAACAAAAAAACAACCCTACGGCTTAATTATCTACCTCAAGAAAATGGATCTCACAGTCAGGATCTGTGTATCAACCTCCTGACCACTGGGATTGCAAGTGTGAACCACTACTACTCCCAACTCCATATAGGTTCTTATAATCTCCTCATTATAGGGATCATGCAATTTTGTATTCATATTCTCAAGAATAATTAAAGCTAACAGTTTTCAGCTACTTACTGCATACAAGACTTTCATGACAATTTCTTTTGAAAGAAATTGAGGAACAAAGAAGTTAAGTAAATTTAAAGTCACACCGATAAATCAATGGCAGACTTGCTGTTTAAAGCCAGATATTATGGTTCAAAATCCTTTGTGGTTTTAGTGTTACCAAATTTCATCAGAAAACAGTGTGCCAGTCTAGAATTGGCCATGTATTGGGCGTAAATCTGTTTGGGCCTCAATTGTAGGAACTTGGGAATTGAGGGTCATAAGGTTGCTTGTGCTTGGAAGATTAGGCCAAGGCCAGAGTGTCTGAGGTTCTGTAGGGAAAGCTCTTATTGGTAGCCTTGGACTGACTGCTATTTCTCATCATGAGGATAACTAATACAGAATGGAAATCTTTTGGTCTAAAAATTGGACCCGTTGTCAGTTTCAACTCAGTACCTAATTAATCAACAGGAAAAGAAAGTGGGAGGCATAAAGTATTCTCTTCTTATCCAGTTTAGGCAAATGTTAAGGAAACTTTACCAATTCTTTTTTTCCTTTTTTTGCCAGTCCTGGAGCTTGAGCTCAGGGCCTGGGCACTGCCCCTGAGCTTCTTTTGCTCAAGGCTAGCACTCTACCACTTAAGCCACAATGCCACTTTCTGTTTATATGGGCCTGAGGAATAGAACCCAGGTCTTCATGCATGCTAGGTAAGTACTCTCCCACTAAGCCACATTCCCACCTGCCAATTCCTTTAAAACATATATATCTGGAATTGACAACTCTAAGTACACAGGTATTCAAATGTAACACAGCCCTTATCCTTAAGAAATGGATGGGGGGGCTGGGAAGGTGGCTCAGTGGTAGAGTGCTTGCCTTGCATGCTCCAGGCCCTGGGTTCGATTCCTCAGCACCACATAAGCAAAAAAAAAAAAGAATAAAGTTGGAAGTGGCACTCTGGCTCAAGTGGTAGAACGCTAGCCTTGAGCTGAAGAGCTGAGGGACAGCACCCAGGCCCAGAGTTCAAGCCCCACGACCGACAAAAAAAAAAAAATGGATGGGGAAGCTGGGCACCAGTGGCTCATGCCTGTAATCCTAGCTACTCAGGAGGCTGATATCTGAGGATTTGGCAGAAAAGTCCGTGAGACTCTCATCTCCAGTTAACCACTCAAAACCCAGAAGTGGCGCTGTGGCTCAAGTGGTAGAGAACTAGCCTTGAGCACAGAGAGGCTCAGAGGCAGCCCCAGGTCCGCAGTTCCAGCCCCACAGCCGACCTAAAAAAAAAAAAAAAAGGACTGGGGCCAGGCACTGGTGACTTACACTTCTAATGCTAGCTACTCAGTAGGCTGAGATCTGATGACTGAGCCAGCTGGGGTCAACAGATCTGAGAGTCTTATTTTTAGTTAAACTGCAAAAAGATGGAAGTGAAGGTGTGGCCTAAGTAGAAAAACATGAGGCCCAGAGTTCAGGTCCCAGTACCAGCACAATCAATCAATAGAGAAATGAACAAAGTAGGAAGTGATTCTCAGAATTGGAGGGTTGGAGGCTTGAAATGGGGACAGGAATATGTAGTGCACACAGCGGCCGCCATTCTCTGACAGCTCCAGAGCAGTAAACAAAGGAACTTCACTCTGGCAGTACTCTACATTGTAGAAAAACTGCTCCACGAGGAATCGAAAATGAGGTCACTGACATCCACCACAGAACCCTAATCTTTTCTAAGCTTTCACATGACCACTCTCTATCACAACTGATGTCTATACCTACACAAGTAGCCTGCACAAACCCTGAACCCAGATGCATAAATCACAGTGTAAGATCACACAATTCATGAAAAAAGAAAAAAAGCTCCATTCTCAAAAAGCAGCAATGACATAGTGAAGGACTGAAGGAGTGAAGAAGTAAAATGCCCAAGAAACTCATTAAAGCAATGTTGAGAGAAATGGCTGATGAAATAAAAGACCAGATCTTCAAAAAGCTAAATGAATTTCAAGAGAAAATGATTGTCTTGGGTACCAGTAGCTCAAAAGAAAAGAAAATTTATGTTTCCATCCCTACAGGTACTCTGATCCCTGGGATATTCAGCAAACGGAAGTCCGGGGAGAGAGGGAGGACTAGTCAAATTCATAGGATAATTAACTCCTATGTGCCACTGGAGATATTTTATTCAATGCTTAGGTTATAGACACTGTACTAAACACTATGCTCAATGTAGATTTATTTAATCCTTACAACGTACCTAGAAACATTCTTACAGATTTTACAGGTTAAAAAGAAAAATGGGAGCACAAGCTGGGTGCTGGTTCCTCCTGACTGTAACCCTAGCTACTTAGGAGGCTGAGATCTGAGGATCACAGTTGGAAACCAATCCAGCAGGAAAGACTGTGAGACTCTTATCTCCAATTAACTACAAAAAATGCCTGAAGTGAAGCTGTGGCTCAAGTGGTATGGCGCTAACCAAAGCTCAGGGAGAGCAACCAGGCCCCAGGACAGGCACACACACACAAAAGTGAAAGCACAGAAAAATAACTTGCTCAAGGTCATCTAGCAAATGTTAGCAATGACCTTGAACCCAAGCAATCAATAAAGCTTGTAGATTTAACTATTCACTATATTACCATTGCCAGAGTTTATATAGTCTGACTGTAAGAGGAGAAAAATCAACACTGCAAATGAAAGTGCAGTAAGATTCAGGGGCTTTGAACCTTTGAGCCCCAGCCAGTAGATTGTAAGGCTCCCCCAAAGAAGGGGTTTTTGTCTTCATTATTTTGCACAAAACTGACCATTCTCAGTCTCAAAAGCCATT